AACCACTCGAGGTTGACATTCCAGAAGCAGTTCGGATTGACAATCTCGTATGGGATCTCGATGATCCATCCACAGATTCAGGGTATACCAGTCCTTAATCATGGATGGATCGTTATGCATTTTAGTTTTAAGGAATTATGTCTAAGATTTTATTTGTAAGGTTGTAGGCTTTAGGCTTTAGGTTTAATTATTATCCAGAAAAAAAAAATGAAGAAAATGTAGAGAAACATTTGGTTGAAGCAGCAAAAACAAGTACATATTTTGCTAACCTTAATATGTGATCCAAATACTTTGATTTTGTCTGTGTCCATGGGAGTATTAGCTATCAAGATCTTAGCATTTTCTACCCGTTGGGGTTGGTGAACTCCTGGTTTTTTATCCAGCAAAAAACCTTCATCCAAGAATGAGTCTTCCAAAGTACCTCCTGTCTTCTTAATAATTTGGATAGCCTAAAATACAAGAAAAAGCAGTATAAATTTGTCATAATAAATGATTATTATAAAATCTGTTAAATTAATAAAACCCAAGTCATGACTTAGATTCTGCAAAAAAGTGTACCTGTAGATCTCCTGAGCCTTTCAGTCTCAACACAGCATCAACAGCTAACTTGCTGAAATGCTCTTTATGTTGACTCAATATCTTTGAGCTCAATGTTGTCCTGGCAATGTTCATCAGATCTTCACGAAACTTGGCTAAATCAGCACTGTTGTCTTTAGAAATGTTATATAGTGCTGTTTTAGCCACATCTGTTGCTTTTCTCCACCCAGCAATAATTGTCTGAGGATGTATCTTCTGGTCAATTAGACGCTCTGCTTCTTTCAGTAATTCAGATGCTGTAAGTGAAAAAGTATGAATTTTAAGCCCTCCACTAGGGAAGAAATATGGCGAATTACAACTAAAGATCTAGGAGGCCTACCCAATACTGTGACTGATGTTGTTCCATCTCCAACCTCATCATCTTGCACCTTTGACATATTAACCAAAATCTTTGCAGCTGGGTTATCTACACCTACAGCTTTAAGAATTGTAGCACCATCATTAGTCACTTCAACACTGCCTGCATTTCTGCCGCTTGACACAAGGATTTTGTCCATTCCTTTTGGGCCCAAAGTGCTTTTTACCAACTCTCCAATAGCTATAGCTCCTACAAAGCTGCTCAATCTAGCTATTTCAGCTTTCTCCTCTTCTGCTTCATGTTTAAGTACTCTGACTGGGTTTAAAGACACCTATGGAAAATGCAAAATAGTAGATTACGCATTTGGTATAATCTTTAAATCGAAGATAGTATGCTATTTATGATTCCGATGCATCTGGGTACCAGAATTTAATATATTAACACAAAAACTGAGCCATGCACGTAGCGTTGCCAGGTCGCCAAACCTAATAGCCGGACAGACCAGCCAGTTTGGCCGGACATTTAGTTAAAAAAGCTGGCCACCCTATATTATTGAGGATTTTGTCTTAGTATTAATAGGTACGACCAAAATTTTTTATGTAAAATCAAGTCTTTTTGATTATTATCATAAATCTTGTTAATTTCTAGTGAAATAACAAATAAAATCAAATGCCAAATCAGTCTTAGATAGGTACTTTATTATTAATCAGTCAAATAGTCATCAGTCAAAATTAAATTCTAGATACTTAAACATTTATCAACATATTTGAATTTTTCTTAAATAATAGGAAAGGCACAAATTATACTTTTTTAACTAAAAAAAATCAATAACTTCTCTTTAAGTTAAAATATAAAACAAACAAAAACTTTTTCTCTTTGAGTTACACAATAAAATTAAATTCTAGATAATTAAACATTTATGAACAAATAAGACATTTTTAACTAAAAAAAATTAATAACTTCTTTTTAAGTTAAAATATAAAACAAAAAAAAAGACATTTTCTCTTTGAGTTACACAATAAAAATAATTATTAATATTTTTGTTTTGTCGAAACCTGCTTTAAGAGCTGAGTTTCTTTCAAAATGTAGTTGTAAAAATCCTTACATGTCAAATGTTTTAAATTAAATTCTACAACCAACATTTTGGCAACAGTATCAACATGTAATCTGTTGCGTTCTTTCTTCCATTGCTGACATATCAAGGAAAAAACTCTTTCAACATTTGCGTTATGTCCTGGGATAGCAAAGTAATACTGACAAATAGTTAGGAATTCTGAAAAGCAATCTTGACTTATCATCGATTTAAAATAGGCTACCCATTTCTTATGTGCTAATAGCTTCTTGAAATCAACGTTCTCTTTGTTAGTATTCAGAAAACTTTTAAGATTTTGCAGTTGGTCAAAACATTTGCTATCGTCGATTTTAACGTTGTTTTGCAATAGGATACTTATAGTATCGGAAACTTGATTCCATTCAGGAACATCTTTTAAAGTCATCCATGTGAAATGTTTTGTGTCTTTGTATAAGTTTTCAGTCCAAGATCGGCAGTGCTCGCTTGTTTGCGAAATGTAAAAAGCCTAACAAAAGACGGACACCGTTTATTTTAGCCGGACATGCAATCAAAAAGCCAAAGTATGTCCGGCTTTATCCGGACTCCTGGCAACGCTACATGCACGTGTGCACCGGCACACCTGGCCATAAATCCCTAAAATGTCGAATGAAATACGAACAGGTTTGGATGTTCTGAATATTTTTAACGAGGACAAGCTAAAAATAACTAATTTACCATTTTTAAGCTCCGTACTTATTGAATAAATCGCAAATTTCTAAAGTTATTAAAAGCAAGAAAAATATCAAATTTTTCAACACGATAATGGAAATAGTCAATTGTCAATGTCAGTATGTCACAATTGACACTACAGCACAAAACATCTACAAACCACAATTGATTGTTTATCCGCATGGAACAGCACATACAACAGAAACAGCACGGAAGGAAAAGAACTACAGGTAACAAATACACCTCCGCCATTTTCATTCATGGAACGTGACTACCACTTTGCACGTGCTAAGTGCATAGCAGGTACGAGGGTGGTCCCAGAAGTACCCGACCCAACAAAGAAAACACAAAAATGTTGTAAGAAAAATGTATTTATTTTTCAACATAACATAATCTCCTTTGAGCTCTATACACTTTTCCCAGTGATGTTCAATAAGTTCGATACCCTTTTAATAATAAGAACTGTCTTGCTCCTTGAAATAGCCATTAATTGCCGACTTCACTTCTTCATCGTTGGAAAATCTTTGACCACTGAGCCATTTTTTCAAGTTTGGAAACAGAAAATAATCCGAGCCGGCTAAATCTGGTGACTAGGATGCATGAGGTAGCAACTCAAACTTTAATTCGTTAATTTTGGCCATAGTAATAACGGATTTGTGAGCTAGTGCATTGCCTTGATGAAACAACACTTTCTTCTTTACCAAATGCGGCCGTTTTTGTTTGATTTCATCGCTCAAATGTTGCAATAAGTTCGCATAATACTCGCTGTTGATAGTTTTACCTTTTTCAAGATAGTCAATGAAAATTATCCCACGCGCATCCCAAAAAACCGACGCCATAACCTTGCCTGCAGATGAAACGGTCTTCGCCTTCTTTGGAGCCAGTTATTCCTTTTAAGTCCATTGTTTTGATTGTTCTTTTGTCTCTGGTGTGAAGTGATGAACTCATGTTTCATCCATGGTTATGAAATGACGAAAAAATTCTGCTTTGTGCTGTAAAACTTCGCTAAACACTCAATTGAAACATCGTCACGACACTGTTTTTGCTCGATTGTGAGCAATCGCGGCACCCATCTTGCACACAGCTTTCTCATGTCCAAATTTTCAGATAATATGCGATAAACCACACTTTTTGAATTGCCTACTATGTCTGCTAGCTCGCGCACTTTCAGTCGACAATCATTCAGTACCGCTTTGTGAATTTTCTTCACCATTTCTGGAGTCGTCACCTCATTTGGTCGACCACTGCAATTCTCGTCTCGACAGCTCCTACGGCCTCGTTTAAACTCTTCTACCCAATATTTTACTGTTGTAAACGAAGGAGCAGACTCACCCATAGTAGAATAAAGTTCAGCTTTTATATTGGTTGGGCTGAGGCCTTTGAAATAAAAGTATTGAACCACATAACGATGACCAATTTTCTCCATTTCCACAAATTCACTGAAAACGTTCAGTATTGATGGCTGCCAAACAAATACTAAACAACGTGGCGTCTTCAAACTTGACATATATGCTTTATAGGTTGCATACTTTCTAATACAATGATATTTTTCAAACAACTATCGCCATCTCTAGGTCAGGCCCGGTACTTCTGGGACCACCCTCGTATATGCACCTAGCATGAAATCACAGCTCGAGGAAAAGGCGTCTAGCGTCTACGCTTTGAACGACTGAATCATTTATTCAGATACGTCAAACAACAGGGACGTATCTGTAGTTGGTATGTTTTTTTTTTTTTTTTATATCGAAACAGCCGCGCAGGCAGAAGCCTAAATGCCGGAACACCGCGGCTGCTATGATGATCCTAAAGAAATTTTGTTAATACGACTTTTGAACTGCCTAAGGTTAGTAGAACTGTGAGTTCACATATACACTGAAAACGTCAGCCAAATTTGAACTTCAATGTGTATGATGAATTAACTCGCTCAAAAAAGTATTCGGGGAGGCTCAGGAATCATGTTCAGGAAAATGCCCGTCTTGTGGGAGGGGGTTCAGCGATTGAAAATTGAAGTGCGATGCTTCTTAGGACGACAGCTCTCGTGAGAATTGAAGAAGAGCGAGGACTGGGGTCGCCATCAAATTGAAGGACACTTCAATTTTTGTAACTCGAATACTTCGTGGAGGCTGGGCGCACTGTCAAACAAACATAGAATTGTAAGAAACTATTATAATTATGGGCAGAGTAAGTGAAGCTGATTTACCAGGTATTAATAACCAAACTTTCCCTCAAATTGCAGATATACTGTCTATCCTTAGAACAGCGGTATAGTTTATAACGCATCATCCCTGAAAGAAAACAGCGGTAAAGCAAAATGCTGGCTTCTCACAAAGAGGATTGCATCACCAAAGCACACGAGTATCAAATTTCAGATCTAGGTTGACCGTTATACCAACACACCATAACACTAAAAAAACAAATCTCAAGATGTATTTCTGTATCTCCTCAGATTGTTCTGTAATCCTGGAGTATGACAAAATATTGCTTCAATAGTTGCTATGGTGAAATACAGAATCTGATGATGTGCATTTTTTGTTTTGGGGCGCTACAGAAGGCAGAATAAAACGACGTGATGCTGCTTTTGTAATGGCGTATGATCACCATCAGTGTATTATCTTTTGTGATCAAGAGCAAGATTTAATGATTACTACAGCACTGGACCGGCTCAAGATTTTTTCATCAGTGTCCGTTCTGCGTTTTTCATCGTCTTAGCATAGAACAGCTAATAAGAGTGACAGTTTCATTTGAAAATTGAAAGTGCTGTCAGCTGTTCCTTGTTTGTTTTGCCGTGCGAAACGTAATAAAAATAGGTGAAAATGGAAATGTAAATGTGAAAATACACATCTATCTTGGATTATTACCTTGTAGCAATAGATTTTACGACATAAGCTCGTCATAATTTGATTTTAGCCAATACTTTTATCAGAATTGAAGTAGTTACTAGTGTAACAAGATAAATTATAAGCATTTAGCAGAATCGATTTTTATAAATATTTAGAAATGACATCATTAAAAATGTTCTGGGACTGTATCTTTTCTCCCAGATTGGTGAAAATTTACGGTAATGGCCCCGTAGAAGTAAGTTTAATTGTTCAAATGTTTCTAAAGTTTACTTTAATAACATCATATTGCAGAGATTGTATGAACCAAAGACATTTGAAAAATGGGGGGACCAGGTGATAAATTCGGTGAGTCCTATGTCTTGGATCATTAGCCCTAAGGCAACTTTTCATTCCTTGCTTTATAGTGATGCAATATTCTGCAGTATTATTCCAGGGCCTTGAGCTTCAGAGGAACCTTTAGAACTAGTGTTAATTCACTGTCATTTGGGTTTTATTCTACACAGAATATTTAGTTTGACATTTAATAATAGCGACAAGAAATATATTTTTTACACCTACTTGAAAATCTACTTTACAAAAACATTCATACATCCTATTATTGTATTGAATTAGAACATAACATGTTGAATAAGAAAAACATAAGGAACTATATTAAGAAAACTGGTTTGAATTTCTAACTTTTTCACAGCTTTATGTTATTTGGAAAATTGGTGTGTATACATCTCCATTTCTTGTTGGAATGCTTTATCAAAGGGGCTACTTTGAACCTGATGGTCTGATTACATTGACAAAACTTGTGACAAGTGTTGGAGTGATTTTGGTGGTTTCATTCTGCATTAGAGGAATGGGTCGTGCAGAAAACCCCACATATACTAGATTTTTAGCCACTCTGCAGAGTGCTCAGAAAGATCTCTCGCCCTCTATCAAACAACAGCTGAACATGTATGATTTTGAGTTCAAAGCTTGGCCAGTAGAGTACAAATCCACAGTAGAACATAGGTGGGTATACATTTTCATGATCAATATAAGTTACTAGCCTCAATAATAAAAATAAAAGATATGTGGCTCTTATGCTCATGCAACTATTACTACAATATTTTTATGGGAAATTAGATTCCAATCAGGTTTACAGAAAGATAAGCTCAGCCACTACAACTGATTCTGCCAGTATACAGGGTGTCCGCAAAGTTGGGGTTTTTCTTTTCAGAAACAACTACCCTTGAAATAACAAAGGTAATGTGTAGTGAAACGAGGGCGACCAAGTAAAAAAAAATAAAGAATAAAGTACTCACTCTCCAGTTGACGAGAAGGGCTAAGTACGTCTCTGCCCGAAATCATACCGCTCCAACAGAAAATGAAATCAGCTGATGCGCTACCGAGCAGACGCACCATGCCAGCCCAAACATTCACCGAAAATGTTTGTTGAAAATGTGCCCGACGGACAGCGTGCGGATTTTCTACTGACCAAACATGAGTGTTGCGAAAGTTATTCACCCCATTACGCGTGAATGTAGATTCGTCTGTCACCAATATGCACTTCAAAAAGTCCGGATTATTGGCATGTTGATGCAACAACCACTCACAAAACCGCACTCTTGCTGGAAAATCGTCAGGTTGAAGGGCTTGTACACGTTGGACGTGACACGGATACAGCCCCTCTTCACGCAGCGTTTGCCACACTTTAGTTTTTGATACTTGCACTTCTCCAGCCACGTCTCTAGTGCTTGTTGAGGGATTCTCGTCTATGCGATTACCTCTACAGGCGTGACCGTAACCGTCGGTTGAAGGTTGCATACTGACCTGACACACTGACCCCGACCCAGTTCTGTCATTGGGTTGAGCCAGTGACATTGTACCACTCCGTGATGTCGCGGCTACAGGACGGTATTCAGATATTTTTGATGTTGCAGAGCCCTTTATCTCGGTTCCCTTAAGACATTGGTGTATATGGTACTAAGAAAAATTGCTTATGTTTTCAAGATCTACACGTCGTGTAAAGGAAAACCCCAACTTTGCGGACACCCTGTATAATAATAAAAGAGACTTATCAGGTGCATGGTCATTTTTTGAGGATATCTCTAAAATTGAAATAAAATTAAATTAATGTTAGTTCATTTTTGATTCTTGAACTGAACAATATCTTTTTAGTGAGTTGCATATTTAAAATAATCAGTTTGTTCTGGGTTAATCCACATTTATATATTTATTACAGTGATTCTAATCCTAAGGCACTCTCTGTACCTAAACAACTTACATTCCCTCAGTGCTTACTACAAATTCCTTATAGAATTATAGCATATTTTGCAATTCATACCTTTGGAATAAGGCTGATATATCCTGGAACAATAGGAATTCTGCAGATGGTATTAGGTAAAAAAACATTTTCTTTTTACATATTAGAGTCTTGGATCCAAACATTTGATTTTAAAAATGGTACATAATAAAGGGCTATATATCTTTTAGAGCAAAGCTTGTTGCAAGGAAGGTCTCGCTTAGTAGAATTATACCATGGTGAAAGATTCAAGATTGAGACAGTAGACAAAAATGAAATAGATGCTCTGTATATAAGCAGAAGAGGCAATACTACGAATGGTAATACTTTGGTAGTTTGTTGCGAGGGAAATGCAGGTTTTTATGAGATTGGTATAGCCATCACACCTATAGAAGCAGGATATTCAGTCTTGGGCTGGAACCATCCTGGGTTTGGAGGGAGCACAGTAAGATTTCATTTTATGTTATATTTTTTATATTGTGGTGTATATTAGCTCTAGACATATTCATGACACTATTTCCTGTCTCTGAGTGTCTGTTATATGGACTTCAAACATGCAGTGTTGAGGCACCCTAGCACCCCCATATATTCCTATGTAAAATATGCATCCTAGGTTCTCACATAACTCATTTGTTTTTTCAATACACAAACAAGAAATTTTTGCTTATGAAAGTAGTTACCTCTAATGCTGAGGCTCGAGTTTAGAATTTCCTTTTTTGTTGTTGAACATTCTGAGAATTTGAAATCCTAGAAATAATTCTGAGGAGGGTTTTGGGGTGATTTTTACTTGTCAGGTTGATGTCTAGTAAAAAAACAAAGACTTCAACGTGAAGCTGCGGGATGAAAGCGGCAACACTGCCGCCATGTCGCAGTTCCAATGTTTGGTTCTTCACACTGCTCATCTTTTGCTTACTAAAGGAAGCAGAAGACAGCGAACTGACACTGGCCGATTCGGAACTGCATATCTCGCTACAGGTCTTAAAGTTGCTAGGAAGCCTTAGCTACTAGTGCTAGGGCGGTTGCTATGATCGCGACTTCAGCATAGCAAATACGATGGTGCTGTGGTTAGACATCATGGCCGCCGCGTTAACGTCTCCACTTTCGAAACCAATGAATACATATATGTATAGTTTTAAGATAAAAAATGCTACTGTTCAGCTGTAATTGAAAGAACATACCTTAAATTTGTAGTTGAACTTCACGAGTCTGTTTATTTTTGAATTGTAACAGTTTTTGACTTAATCAGGATACTGATAGTTATACAAACTTATTTTAGGGCAGGCCGTATCCGCCACAAGAAAAAAACGCGATAGATGCTGTAATGCAGTTTGCCATAAACAAATTAGGATATAAGCCAGAAAACATAATACTTTTTGGATGGAGTATTGGCGGATACACGTCGACATGGGCAGCTATGAGCTATCCAGATATCAAAGGACTTGTATGTTATATATTCAATCTAATTGTCATATTATGAATAATGTTAACCTTGGTGTGTTAGTATTGGAATTTAAAAAAATGTTCTCTAGGTTTTAGATGCTACATTTGACGACGTATTGCCTCTAGCTGTTAATCACATGCCTAGGTGGTGGGGGCCCATTGTAGAAGTAGCAATAAGGGAGCACGTCAATCTGAACATTATTGAGAACCTGGTTAAGTACCCGGGACCGGTATTCATCATCAGGCGAACAGAAGATGAGGTTATATGTTTAAGGTAAATTGCAGCTGTTTTCAGATTGTTTTTTTATTGTGATCAAATGCCTTCTTTCTAGGGAGCATGATTTGTCTTCAAACCGCGGCAATCACTTACTGATGAAGTTGCTAATGTTTCGCTATCCATGTATTTTAGACAGAACCCAAACGCAGCTTTTGAAAGATTATCTAGCTGTCACGGGAGCATCGCAAGGTATGTATTTTGGGATATCAAAATCGACACATTAAAAAAAAAAAACGAAAAATTCTTACTTATCCACAATATAAATTTGCTCATTTGTGAGGCTTTCAGACAATACTATGTTTACCAATGACACTAATATTCATACTATTTTCAGATGAGTTTTTCCGAAAATATGGAGTGGATGACAACTACTGTCAGTCGCTGCTTCAGTCGTATATTTCCGAATTCTCAAAAAGCTATCCTATGAAAATTGGTGAAGAATTTGGGGATATGGATAAATCTCGAATGGCACTGTTTTTGGTGAGTTTTACTGTATTATGAAAATTTAATCCTGAGACATAAGCAAATGAAGTACAGCAGACGCTCGATAATGTAAACTAATTTAATCCAAGTGTGGTTCACATTATCGAAATGTTTACATTAGCGAACATGATTTATATAATATTCGATTTATTAAAAGAAACGTTTAATACATACTATTTATAACAAAATAAACAAATATTCTAACAGCGATAAGTATTTTTTTAATTAGAAGAAAAATAATTAACAATTTTTGTCTGCGTAAATTTGCGCTTAGCATTGTCTTCCAATGCCTGCGCCCGTAATTTACGAAGAACTAAAATATCCGTGTATGAAACTTCTTTTCTTTCAGCCCAATCTAAAGCTTGGTTAAAAACTTGTATAGCTTGCGCGTCAGTCACTACACTTCTGACTTCAATGGGATCGTTCTCATCATCCTCACTGTCCATATCCTCCTCCTTATCAGCATCATTCGTCTGCTATCTTCGTTCCATAAATTAATATCAGCAGGAGTACAAACAATGTTGGGATTCACTGTTTTCAATAAATCAACAACATCCAATGACACACTAATAACATTATCATTATAGGATCGCAAACGTTCTCTAATTACGCTTAAGGGGACATCGTCTTCTTCATCATCTTCATTATTGGTACAAAGAGGTTGTTCCAACATTTTTGAATAGTTTGCTGGTTAAGTTCATTCCAGGCCATATGTAAATCTAAAACAGCTTCTCGTAATGTTACTTTTTTAAAGCCTCAGATAAGTTTTCAGGATTCTTTGATAAGAGAGACGAAAGTAGAAACTTCCTATAGTATAGTTTGGTGAGTCTTATTATATTCTGGTCCATCGGTTGAATTAACGGTGTTACGTTGGGCGGCATGTACATGACGAAAATTGACCCATCCCTGCTCCTCAGTTGTTGCTCGGAGGATGACTTGGTGCATTATCCTATAGTAACAACGCTTGTATTGGAAGCTTCTGTTGTTTTAGGAAACCTTTTACCTACAAATTGAAAACACATCTTCAAATTATGAATAGAGCATTTGTGATAATTGTCATACCTGAGGGACAAAGCACCTGTGGAACCATTTCAGGAATATACTAGGTAATCATCCAAGCGGTTTTGAACAGTCATAATCAACAGGGATATTAACATTTTTAATGAGCGCGGATTTTTTGCTTTCCCAATTACCAGTGGCTTTATTTTGTATGAACCATTAGCATTAGTGCAGGCTAGAAACGTTATTCGTTGTTTCTCCGGCTTTCTTCCCGGGGCAGATTTTCAAATGATGCAGCATAGGTTTTCTCTGCTAACATTTTCCAATAAAGGCCACTTTCATCTGCGTTGTAAATTTGTTCCATTTTTCTTGAATGGTTGCACTAATTGTGGTTGTGCTGATAATTTTTCACCAGATATAGATAGCAGTCGAATTCCATATCTTGTT